TTTCAATGTCTGAAACTAGTGCAAACTAAGGTGATGTAAATGTAATGTAAATAAATATAATAAAAAAATGTAATGTAAATATCTGATGAACTTCTTTTAATGACAAGCAGCCCACGGGGTATTTTGCTATTTGTTTTTTTATTAGTGCATTGTATACGATGGATGTAAAGCTGCACCGCTTGATGGATTGTCAGAGCATTACGGCTACCGTAGTCAGGAGCCTCGCGGAGTGATACGTAATGTGCTTCAACATAATATTACCGTATTGTGTGTGTATAAGGACCATAAATGGCACATGTTAAGAGACACGGTTACGAAGCAGATTTCAAACTCCAGGCTGTCAGTCAAGCAGTAGAACTTGGGAACAGAGCAGAATCTGGATTTAATAACTGTAAGGTAAGTAAAATCTTTTTTCTGTCTTTTTTATTCCTAAAGCTATATTTAGGATCATGTCTCTTGTAGTTATTAACTTATGCCACATACTATCAAGTTACACCACTAACACAGTAACCACAAAGTTCTAGTTTTTTCATGGATATGGGAAAGGTTTACAGTCTACAGTTCAGCATGCTGCGTGTTTTATTGCCTCGGCTTACATAATATTAACATGCAGTAAAAGATCATTCTTAGTGTCCTGCGTTATTTAAAAATTAAGAAAAAAAAACCCCAAAATACATGAAAAATACATTCTACTTCTTCATAGAATGGGGATGAAGAAATTCTTTGTCTTACTGATGTAAAAATGATGGGTATCAAAATCCTTTGATGAGCAGGTCTTTTGAAACAGGAGTGCTTCAAAGCAATTCAATAAACCTTGCCCAGGGGCACCGATACTCAGATACGACAGAAAAGCATATAACATCTACTACTACTACTGTATTTTTATTATGGGTTTTATACTGTAAGAGCAACCAGTCAGACTCTTTATCAGTTACTGTGCAGAACTAATTATTAAATATCTGTGTCAAGAGGAAATTGTACTTAGTAGTCAGTATAATCTTTTAGTGATATAAGTTTGCATATGGTAGAATACTGCATGTAGTTATTTGTATTGGGAAATATTCAACCATGTATACTTAGAGGCATATAATTAATTGTGTGTGATCTCTAACAGGCTGCAGGCTTGGGGTGCACGCCAGGAATGCGCCCCCACATCCTAGGAGCATGAGAGAGTTCGTACCTTGTCTTATTGTTTTACGGCAGGATTAACGTAGCTATGTCTGTTTTAGTTTAAGTGCTTCTTTACATATAGATGAACTGTTGGATTTTTCAGACCAGCAGGTTAAGGGAAGTTGTTTATGGGGTCACACTCTGACCACCCCCCCCACACACACACACCCACCCAATGAAGTATAAATAAAGACCGGGGCAGTTTCTCAGGGAGAGTCTCTGAGACTGCCCTTGCTAGCAAGAACTTCTGTGTGTTTCTTTTCTCTGAGTCTTTACTGAAGAAGTGTTTTAGAATATTTTCCCTAAGAATCTGCAAATCCCAGCATGTTTCTGCCTCCCTCCTCACCTGTATGGATAGTAACACTGAAATATTATTTTAAAAAGTGGTGACTTTAAGGACGCCTCATTAGTGGTAGATTTGATACAGAATTAACTGAAGATGAACTGAAGCAAGAATAAGTGTGTTGATTAAATATAAAATAATTTATTAAAAGAGACGTAGAAGAGAGACAGTGTATAACACTGCACATTTAATTGGAGTTTAACAGGAGGACAAAAACTGCAGAGAGGTATAATATTACAACTCTGCTTCTGCATCCCAACTCTGCGTAGTCATATATTGGAGTGTTAATGAATTCAACCATATTTCTTGAACTAAGAGCTTCTCCATGCAAAGGTGGGGTGGATGCCATCTCTCGTAA